TCCATCTAGCCAGCCATATGGCTAGCTAGCTAGCCAGCTAGCTAGCTAGCTAGCTAGCTAGCTGGCTGGCTAGCTAGCTTCATCTGCTATCCCTGAGTACCAAACTTTTGGGGGCCAGCTGCGTCTTTGACCCAGTGGCGGCTCCGAGCGCGTGGGGCCCCGCGGCCTAAACCCTAAACCCTAAACCCTAAACCCTAAACCCTAGGCATTGTTCGCTGCTGCGCGCAGGGTTTGCGGGCTCGCTGGAGAGCCACCGGCAGCAAGCAGCAGCAGCAGCAGCACAGCTGAGGCGGCACAACAGCGAAGTTTGTTTGCTGCTGCAGCAAGCCAACAAAAGGGAGCAGCAAATGCTGCAGGAGCTCGAGGCCCACCGTTTGCTGCTGCTCGAGGCGCATGCAAAGCTGCTGCAGCTCGAAAAACGCGCAGAGGTCCCTTCTGAGGGTTTAGGGTTTAGGGTTTAGGGTTTAGGGTTTAGGGTTTAGAGTTTGGGGCTTGGGGGGGAGGGCGGAGCGCTCGGGGCTAGGGTTGCGGGTTTAGGGTTTAGGGTTTAGGGTTTGGGGCTTGGGGGGGAGGGCGGATCGCTCGGGGCTAGGGTTTAGGGTTTAGGGTTTAGGGTTTAGGGTTTAGGGGTTAGGGCGTGGAGGGTACTGGCTGCGGGGTGCAGGCTAGAGGAAAGGGCGGAGGGCTCCAAACTAGGGTTTAGGGTTTAGGGTTTAGGGTTTGGGGTTCTGCAGGAGGCTGCGGCGTCTCTGAGAAACCAAAGAGATACTCTCTTGGAGCGTCTTCAAGTTCTGGAGAAAGAGCTTCAGGTGCTGCTGCTGCTGCTGCTGTTGCTGCTGTTGCTGCTGCTGCTGCTGTTGCTGCTGCCACTGAGCTGCTGCTGCTGTTGAAGGCGTTGCTGGCGCTGCTGCTGCTGCTGCAGCGGGTTAACAGGGAAAACGAGCAGCTGCTGCAGCAGCAGGCTGCCAATGAAGCTTCCCTCCGTGAGGTGAGGGTTTAGGGTTTAGTGTTTAGGGTTTGGGGTTTGCGCCTTCCTGCACAGCGGGCCTACAGCCTGGAACTCAGGGTTTAGGGTTTAGGGTTTAGGGTTTAGGGTTTCTGTTACTTACGTGCAGCGTGATCCCACAGGTCTAGAGCCTATAATTCACAGTTTAGGGTTTAGGGTTTAGGGCTTAGGGTTTAGGGTTTAGGGTTTCTGTTTTCTGCAGCTTGCGGCCATTCGACAGTCTCACGGCGCCATAGAAAGGGAAAAGAAACATTTGCAGTCGGAGGTATCCCCAAACCCTAAACCCTAAACCCTGCAGACGCTAAACCCTGCAAACGCTAAACCCTAAACCCTGCAAACCCTAAACCCTAAACCCTACCGGATTCTAAACCCTAAGCTCTACCGGCCCTAAACCCTAGCGAGCGCTTAACTTTTAACTTCGCTAAACTCTATACTGTAAACTCTACGAAACCCTAAACCCTAAACCCTAGCAAACCCTGACGGTTAAACCCTATCAAACCCTAAACCCTAACAAACCCTAAAGTCTAGACCCTACTAAACCCCAAACCCTTTTCTTTCTTCTCTCTTGTTTTACCTCACGCCACAAAGCCGATTGGTGCTGCGGATGTGGCACTCTTTGCTGCTGCTGCTGCTGCTTTCGCTGCTGCTGCTGCTGCTGTCCCCGTGATATTGCTGCTCTTTTGCCTGCGGCCTTTTCCGCTGTTTGTGCTGCTGCTGCTGCTGCTGCTGCTGCTCATCCCCAACTTCGCGCCAACTCTCCGCCTCACCCTTCTTCTCGCTGCCGCTGCTGCTGCTGCTGCTGCTGCTGCTGCTGCTGCTGCTGC